TCGAATTAACTTTTAAATGTTTCATTAATTAAAATTATCCATTTTTTTGCTTTAAATAATTTAAAATAAGAAAATTTGATTCGCACACACATCTAATAAATTATAAATTTATTATGATATAATAAATTACGCAGCCCCTACATTGGGAATTACATACCAAAAAAAGAATAAACTTATTTACATAAATTTAAAAATTTGCAATTCTGCTCTTAACTAAATAAATGCCAACATAAATATTCCCATACGTAAATAATATAAATATTCCTTAATGAGTGACAAAAACAAAGATAAATTCTAAAGAATAAAGTATGGGAATTAGGAATGCCAAAAACATTGTTTTAATCATCTATTTGATAACTTTTATAAATCGGAAACATTAAATAAAACACATAATTCTTGGACGTGTTAAAAAATATTAAAATATCATATTATTATTTACCATTATAAAAAAAATATAAAATATCAATATCGCTAAAAAATGAACATATTTTTAATGTATACTTTAAGATCTAAAATGACTTTTAAGTAATACATAACGCGCATAGATACTTTTTACATTAATTTTCCAAAAATGCTTTACAAATCGAAATCGTACTTTTTGAAAAAATAGAAACGGAAACAACATCATTGTTAGTTTATTAAATATTTTTTCAATTTTTTATTTTTCGATAGATATTTTTAATTTTAAGAAATATTGTAATAATTTTTAGAAAAAAAGTTAATGTAGAATAACTAAAAAAATTAGGAAAAAAATTACAGATAACAATGATAGTATTCAAAATTGACTGAAAACTGTAACTTCGTGAAATAACAATGTATAAAATAATTTGTACGTTTCAAACACAAGTTTAATATACATACATAATAATTATACAAAAATTATTTGTGATAATTTTGTTTCTAATAAATGAATTTAATTTTTAATGAGATGGGATTTCTCAGATTTTAAAATTTAAACTTTTTATTTCTTGCTTGTGTGAAAGATAAATTTATTTCTTATTTCTACGTTTCTAATCATAAGTGTCTATGCATTAAATAATCAACAAATATAATTAAAAATACATATAAATTTGATACATGTTTAGATTATTTTTCTAATGTTTTTCTTTTAAAGTAAATCAGAGAAATCTCATTATCTCATTATCTCTCATTATCTCATCATTCCTTAATATTTTCCACGTTATCAATTAAGTAAAGTAATTGCAACAAATAGCGCTTGAAGACTATGATTACTTTCAACGTGATTGAAAGAAATTCGTGAAAGAAAATAAAAAAGGTTATATTTATCTGTTTATAGCCGGAACACATACAAATTCCTTGACATATCAGAAATATATCTTTCATGTTTACGAAGTAACATGCAGAATTTAAATCGCGCCGATCGGCTAATTCAATGTCAATTTTTAATAACAATTACTTTCGTTTATGCATATGATTAACATAAGTTAAATATGACTATATTCTATAACGCAACTTATTATAACTTTCAGTTTTATCACAGAAATTTGTTATTTGCGCATAACTATCATTTTCAACCGTTTGATTTGTTTTTTCGATGAATCTATATTATAAAGGCAAATGATTATGTCAATCATGATTAATTTATTAATATAAATATCAATTTATTTCTCATCTCAGCTTTCTCTTCATAATTTAATAATAATCTAGAAGCTTGATAGTTAATTTTTATTAAAAGTATCGGAAATATTATATTTAAATTACAAAATCAGTCGCATTATGAAATTTATTTAAAACGATTTATTAATCGCACGCAATTACATGCGCGCATTAATTGAAAATGTCTGTATTTGCAGTACAAATTTCTTCTATAAAACATCTCTAAGAAAGGATAAGAAGGGGCAAGACGAGGTATCTTTTTCTGAGAGGAAGAGATTAACTCTATCTCGATACGTGTGCGCGCGCGCGCGCGTGTGTGTGTGTGTGTGTGTGTGTGTGTGTGTGTGTGTGTATAAATTAAACTACGTCAGTCTCCAAATCGCGTTTAGTACAATTTAACAAATCGCAGCTCCATATTACGGTGCTTCGCCCGGATGTGTCTGTACACAGCTTGCGTGTACTTGCTACGCATTTCGCAGTGCGGACACTTGAAGCGTGGCATGTCGACGCATTCTAGCCGATAGTGTCGGCTCATGCCGCCGGTAGTGCGGAAGACACGGGCGCACTTGGGACAGGGAAAGCCGCGCCGATTCACGGAGGCTTGAACTCTGAATGTGTGACGGGTATTCCGCAAGCTGTGGTACTTCAGAATGATCGGTCTGAAAGAATCTGCAAGCATAAATAGAAACGGAAATCTATGTTAGAATAATCAATATGCAACCAGTGATCTCTTAATAACGGGGGAATCGAGGCAGCGAAGAGGACGGGAATGCGCAGGAATTTCGGGATGCCTCCTTCTCCTCCTCGGAAATGATCGAAGATTGTGTCGATCTCATCTGTATCGAATACTTGAAAATCATATACTTGAAAAACTATATGCATATACGTAAGCTTCTTCGGTATTACACTCTAAAATTAGTCTTACTACAATTAAAATTATAAATCATTTCAATTTTATTTTTGCAATTAAAACAATTATAATACAGCTTTTAATTAAAAACAATTATAATACAGCTATATTGATATAGTTGTAGTTCACGTTAAATTGTTTTTCCGAGTTTTCCATCTTAATCTACAGATTTGGATAGCCAATCAACCAAGCAAACGTTATTTTAACAGGAACAATCATTGCTGTTAAGGAATATACAAACGAAACGAATTCGATTTTATTGATGATGTATATTAGTGTCTTATTGATATATCGTACAGTGTTCTTCTCATTGTGGATTAGTAGAGCTTGTTCAGCATGACCTTCTGTCCCGTATGGATCTTCCTGATGTGATTGTAAATCGAATGAGACCATTTGCTCACATGACCACAATAGGGGCACTGAAAACGTGGCAGTGAGTCACATTCGTATCTATAATGCCGGTACATCGAGTAACTCTGAGAGAAGGACTTCTCGCATTTCGGGCAGTGATGCCTCCGGTCGTGCGAATCAATAGTGCTCTTCATCGTCTTACGTAAGTGTTGCTGCTGTTGCGATCTTCGCGACACCATCTGGGATAGCTCTGCCTTGTCCATCAGTCCGTTGTCCCATAATTCTGAAACCGATGTCGTCTCGTGTTAATGACAATTCGCATTATTCATAATGATAACTGTTGGCACGCAACTGCACAATGACTATACGCATGAAACAAGGAAATCAACGGAGTCTCCTTCGTGAAAATGTTCGCGAAATTAACACGAACACAAACCGTAATAATAATCGAATAGTAATAATTATGTTGTCCAATACAACTGCATTCTATCGACAAATTTTAATCCATATTTTTCAAAAATTTAAGCACCTAAGATATTTTAAGCTTATAATTACATCATTATTATATACCTAACAAATTTATTGTTACGCGATAACACTGGAGCCTATTATAATATATTTCTTGAACTCAAAAATTTCGAGGAAAAGAGAATAAACAACATAAATCTGATACATCAGGCTGGAACTGACAACCTATCCTTGAGAATCAGCGAGGATTTACAGAAAAACTCTTTACATTTTAGATGATGTTAGATGTGACTAATTTAATTCTATTCACACTTACTTATTACCATCACTATACGTATATTACTATCAGCAGGTTTCTTCATCTTTATGTTCATATTTATGATTGAAAGATTTTTGTAACTATAAATACTTAAAAAAGAATATGTAACAAATATATCTGTAATCGATTATTAGCTAATTATTACGTAAGCTAATTATTACGTAATTTTTGGCAAAATTCTTACGTGAGATTTATCTCAAGTAACGATATAACAGAAGAAACACATTTAGTCTTTCGTGAAAATTTATTGCCATAAAATATGCCACACAATAATAGAATATCATCCAAATAATAGAAAGAATTCTGAATTCTTCTTCGTGTATTTTTATTTTTTACATTTGAGAACGCTATGTACAATACAGTCTTGAATTCTTTAAAAGGATAAAATTGCAGGTTTCAAAATCGGAGCAATTCCGGTTACGCAAATTAAATTAGTAATAACTTAGTATAAAGATATTAGGTGTACAATTTTGCTTCCGCCGTTTTTTTTCCGAAATTCGAAGCTTTATTGTAAAAAACTGGTTATACATTTATGATTCAAAGTATTGTCCATCGCTGGCCACTACTTTCTCCCATCTTTCGGGTAGCGTACGAATCCCGCGTCGAAAAAACTAGTCATCTTTTGAGGCTATCCACGAATCGATCCAATTTTTTACTTCTTCATAAGACCGGAAGTGCTGGTCAGCCAGGCCGTTTATCGAAAACAAACAAGTGATAGAGGGAGCAACGTCTGGAGAATACGGCGGGTGGGGTAGGACTTCCCATTTCAACGTTTCCAAGTATGTCTTGACCACTTTCGCAACATGGGGTCGAGCATTGTCATGCTGCAAAATCACTTTATCGTGTCTCTCGTTGTATTGCGGCCGTTTGTCTTTCAATGCTCGGCTCAAATGCATCAATTGCGTTCGATACCGATCGCCTGTGATTGTTTCAGTCGGTTTTAACAGTTCATAATACACTACGCCGAGCTGGTCCCACCAAATACAGAGCATGACCTTGGAGCCGTGAATATTCGGTTTGGCCGTCGACGTGGAAGCATGGCCGGGAACTCCCCATGATTTTCTGCGCTTGGGATTATCGTAATGAACCCATTTTTCGTCCCCAGTCACAATGCGATGCAGAAATCCCTTCCGTCTTTGCCTTTCAAGCAGCTGTTCACAAGCAAACAAACGCCGTTCAACATCTCTCGGCTTCAATTCGTACGGCACCCAATTTCCTTGCTTCTGAATCATTCCCATAGCTTTGAGGCGTTTTGAAATGGCTTGTTGAGTCAATTCTTCTGCCAATTCTTCTTGATTTTGACACGAATCTTGCTCAAGTAATGCCTCCAATTCTGCATCTTCGAAAACCTTCTCTCTTCCATCGCTATGCCGGTCTTCGACGTCAAAATCACCGTTCTTGAAGCGTTGAAACCACTCACGACACGTTCTTTCTAATAGCGGCCTCACCATGAGTATTTGAGAGCATTCGATGAGCCTCAGCCGCAGATTTCTTCATATTGAAGCAAAAAATTAAAACCTCCGGCAAATGACGAGAATTTGGCTCGTAAATTGATATTTTCAATCGAGAATAACTTTATGATGCAGACACAAATCAACTAATGTTTCTATGGAGTTATGTTGACAGATGTCCAAGTTTATTGTATGACGTCTATGATCTATTTATTTCGACCACCACTTACCGCTAAAGCCATCTATAGGAAAACGGCGGAAGCAAAGTTGTACACCTAATATTTAAAATACAACACTTAAAAAATACTTTGGAACCAATCACAAATCGAATACAATCAGTTATGCGTCATATACATAATTATATGTATAAATCTCTTTAACGTTTCGCACAATAATAAATTATTCTCTGAAATTTTCTAATAACCATACACATGCACAGAGAGAAAAATAATTCCCTAGCACAACAGATTTTTTTATATTGCTGTAGCAAAATCTGTCAGTTTTTATGTGAGCAGCAATGAGATCTGTTAAGAGTATCAATTACAATTTGTTAAATATTATGTTGCTAAAACTGCTAAAATTATTTTGAGGCAAGAATAAATAAATGTTTGTTTAACACTTCGTTGACATACTCTCGCTTTCTTTTTTCGATCCTCTTTTTTCGATAGCTTTTTGGCACACTGAGTGGCTCACGCCCAGAATGTTTAAACAACTAGCATTCTTATTTAAAAAATCCAATCAATATGAAAAAAATTATGGGTCAATTTCAAGTTCTATAGAATAGTTTTCAAATAGTTTTTGATTGAAATTTCATTACAGTTTTTGTGAAAAAAATTCTTGAGTTCAATGAATAGAGAAAAAAACGAGTGAAATCTTTGAAAGATTGTAACTGTTAAAAAATTCAATATTAAAAGTTAAAAATTTACAGAATCGTTGTTCAGATACTTTGAAAAAAAAAATTAGTTTATAAATTGGTTTTGGATAAAAGGTATTTTATTTTGCGTATTAAATGTAGACTATTTTAGGAATTGAAAAAACAGAGATTTTTTATAAATTTGTATTTTTGTTCTATAAGATAAAAGAAAATTGAATTTTAGAGAATTAAAATAATTTTGTGAGTAGTTCACACCCATTATATCAACGAAGGATTAATTATTAAAGCTTTTTATGTAAATAACAAGAACAAAATACATTTGCTTTTGTAATCCATGATATGCAATACAGATCTAATTCACATTCAGTAATACCTACTTTCAAAAAATAAAATAGCACTTTCTTGCCCTGAAAAGAGTAGATCGATTAGTGAGCGCCCTGAAAAGAATATATAGTAACAATAATAATTTTGTTACAACAGCAAAATTACTTTCCTCCATGCATGTAAACTTTTTCCACTGATTCATTTTGTAAATTCGAAGAACGAAATCATATCATTCAAGTCATGAAGACGACTGCACAAACATAAATGATAAAAAATAAATAAAAATTCCCATCAGTCAATTCGGCGAGTAAATACAGAAGTATAATCTCTTCGATTTTTCACACTGGTTCACGTTCATCGTGGCGAAGATGCCAAGAGCTCAGTAAAGTTTCACGAGAGTCACTTGCTCTTTCGGATGCATACACCTTACATGCTGATAAATATTCGAAGTCTTCTTGCTGCAGAGATTGCAGTATGGGCACTTATACCTGGGCGCTTTGCCGCACTCGTACCTGTAATGACCGAGCATCGTATCCCGTCTGCCGTAACCGTTGTTGCAATTAGGACAGTGGAATTTGCCGGTGCTTGAATTGTACTGTGTAATATCCCGTTTCTTCACGTATTTCTTCCGGTGCATCATAAATTCCATGGGTCTGCCACCTACAAAAGATCATGCCATGGTCAACATTGTTATTCACTCAGGATATGTCTCGGGAACATCCTGTTCAAGGATGAGAACGCACCAAGATTCCATGCAGAAGGAATATTCGCGATAAATAAGTGAGATATAGAGAGGAAAAACAGATACTGAGATAGAGCACAAATGAACCAGAGAAAAGACGCAAAAGAATATAAAAATCTAAGTCACGTAAACATAACTCTTGAGAGCAAAAGTCGTTTTTCAATAGAACATTTTTATTAAAACTTGAAAACAAGCGCACGTTCGGTCGCTTTACATGACTAAGTACATTGTCAGGTAATGAGATGTAATGACTTAATCTTTCTATATTATTCAATTATCGCAGATCTTCCGATAAAAAAGATATCTCAAGAATGTTAATCTATTTCTATATAATTTTTTTACTCAAGTCGCCATCGGAAATTGATAGTCAACTCAAGTTCTCCAAGAAAGAAATCATTTTCACTAATAAAATTCGTCTTATATATTATTAAAATGTGATTCGATTTTGCACAAAAATATCTCATGTATTTGTCTAAAATCACGTAATCTGAAACACATTAAAAAATAAAAATATGAAATAAAAATATGTTGTGCTATTAATTATCACATTAATCCTCTAGGGACAACATCGTTTTGTCATTAAAAAAAAAAAATTTTTTTTACTACTATTGCTTAAAACCTATTAGTAAGTGAAGAATCGTGTAGTCTCTCTTACTGACAGAAATACTATATATCAGTGTTCAATGCTACATACATTTCCATCTTCAGTTCTTAAATATAATTAATTTATACAAATCCCGATTTTACTTCGAATTATTATTTATTCTGAATTTTAATTTTAAAGTGAAAAAAATTTATAACACTCGCCCCTAGAGACTTAAGCAAATATTCATCTATAATACACATATGTAATATAATATTCAAATATAAAATTTCTTTACGGAACTGGATGAATGAAGGAACAAAAAACATTGATACAATAACGAAAAGGATAGACCTTAGAACGGAAACCAATCTTCCCAAATCCGTTTGAACACTCAGGATAAAAATACAAATGTTATTCTTGTCTTGTAACATGCATTACATTCAAAATACATATATAATAAATGAAAGTAACATTTAATAATCGCTAACAGGTACAAAAAGACAGTATTCTCCTAGGAATGAGACTCCAGTTGAACATTATAGACATTTATCCCAGCTTGTCTCGTGACTACCGTCAGTGAAAAAAACGCAAACGCGTGGGCACACGGGACGAATCACGCGTTAAATCGACGTTCGTACTGGGTGCCTTTAATCGCGCGTGCCAAGCATGGCCGCGCGACTTGTCCTAGAAGAGCGTGTTGCAGATGACGAGCTTCGACGGGTGCTTGTGTCTAATATGGTCCTGTACATTGAACTTCTTTTTGCTAAGCATGCCGCAGTAAGGGCACTCGAAACGTGGCGGCTTGCCACAGTCATATTTGTAATGGGCCGTGACGGCGCTCTTCGTAGAGTAGCTTTTGCGGCAGCGCGGACATTGGTAGCGAATCCTCATCTTCCTCGGACTCCTACTGCCCATTCCGATCCCCTCGGGCCAGGGTAACATTTGTAGAAACGCTGAAAAAGACACGGAAGTGCGCGATTAGCTCACTTGGATGCGGCATGTAGGAAGGAAAACTTGTAGGAGTAAGTTCGTGATTCAGATACTCTTTTTTTCTCTCTTTCTATCTCTCAAACATTCCGAAGCAACAACACGCAGCACATTCGCGTGAGAAAACAATTCTCGTAGTTTCGAGGGCTTGGAGGATTCAGAAAAGAATTGTGAACTTCTCTATATGTATGCCGACAAATACTTGAAGAACTGATACAACAAACTATTTAAATCAACTCAAGGAAGAGAATATTCCCGAGGGCAATTATTTTAAGTGATAACTTTAATTGCATCCTCACATACATGAGGACAGAATGATTCGCTTTGTTTAGTAAGAAACGAACAAATAAAGCAGTTAAAAGTATCTTCAAGCTGTGCACGAACGAACTGCGCGATAATTGATCGATCAAATATCGAATGGTGACGAAGAACTAGATGGAATGTTAGTCCGAGGAGTAATGTGCGTCTAACTACTTCAAAACTCACAGTTGCTATTGTTTCCACAAATTATTGTCCAAGTGATCCACGATCTAAGCATGTCTTATTGTTCTGCAAAAAAATAGAGATGTTAATAAAATAAACAACAATCCGTCTACATAAAATATTCCAAAAAACAATATACATATCTAAAAAAAAATATATATTTAATTAGATTCATCAATCGTTTTCGAATTTCTGTGTAAGAATTCCTAAATTAAAAATACTACTACGTTTATTAATAATAAAACTAGGAATAAAGGATAAAGATCGGGGTGATTTTATTCTATAAACCTCTTTACTTATTCTTAACATTATTAATATTTTTTTTTTAAATAAATATATTACATTAATATACCGTTTACAGCCTTTATTTCTAATTTGTTGAGTACTCACATTACAGTCTTAAAAGATACTGTATTTAATATTATTTATGTAAATATGTTTTATTTAAAATGTAAAAAAACTCCAAATTATTCCAAATTTAATAATAAAATTACATATTATATTGCAGTTTATTCTTGAGAGACAGAAATAGGTAGTATGATAATTTTAAATGGCACATACAAAAACGTAAAGCAGTAAGAAACATAAACAGTAAGCAAATTGCTTAATCACAGTAGAGATCGTAAGGCCAGTAACGAATCCAAGTTACGATTTCCTTACTGCTTACATCTTACTCTGCTTTACATTTTTGTATGAACTTAAATTTCAAATCAAGATAACGCGTATATGCTTGTCGGAATTTTTGATGTGTATATGCTTGTCAACATTATTAGACTGCTGCTCTTCATATCGCAGTAAGAACACTTATATATGTCTCGGCAGACAATGACATTCGAAACTCAAATGTCGCAAATGTAATACATATGCTGATAGTTCTTATTGCACTTCGGGCAGACGTAGCTATTATAAACAAATTCATTCCTCTATGTTATTAATAAAAAATTAAAAAACAAAAATTTATTTAACAATTTATTATATTATGAATTAATAATTATTTATGAATTAATAATATTTCAAATTATTTAAAATCATATACAACATACAAAAAATTACACGACAAAAAAAATCGCAATTATCGAAAATATAATTCTATGTAAGACATAGTTGTAGTATATCGTGATTACATACAAAAATTAAAAGTATTAAGAATTAATCTATTAAATAAAAAAAACATACCTAATTCAAGAAAATAACAATACTAACAATGTTTAATTATTTCATGCTTCACATGAATAATTCATTTTCCATCTCATCTCAAATTTATGTACGAATATTTTTAAATTCCTTGATAATTTTTGAATTTGTTGTGTATTCGAGACCGATGACAAATCTGAAAGCAAAAATAAAATGGTGAAAAGATAGCAGTCATCTGACGAAGTACGCTGACATTCCGAGACTGATTGGAAAACGAAACGAATATCACAAAACACGTAGGAAAAAATTCGTAGGATAATTCTTTATTAGTCTCAATTGTATATTTTTATCGTATATTTATTATAAAAACAGTCATTAACGTTTATTCTGACAACAAATTAACACAGTTAATAACTAACAAAAGTATAGATTTCGATGCTAGAAGAACATGAAAGAATAATCGTTCGTTTATAATCCTTAATGATTGATATTATCTTTTAAACATTTATATACAAATTGTTTGTCTACAAATTTACAAGTCGCATCAAGTGAAGATCACTTCGAATGCAGAACTTTTCAAGAATAAACTTCTCTCTCGCAAAGACTATCCTCGAATAAAAAATTCACATTATCATCTTAAGATCAATCTCGAGAGAAATCTCTATCTGTCATCTACATCATATATCGCATAAACTTTCATCGCAGAAAACTATGTAAATGTAGATTGCATCTCAAACATAATCTACATTATTTAATTTTATTAAAGTTGAGAAAGAGAAAAAACCATTTAGAATACTTGAGAAATAGAATATTTCAGGAATTTAATAACATTTTCATAATATGCAGAAATTTCCGTACAAAAAACAAAGTGAAAAAGTGGCATTGCAAAGTTGATAACAGAGTCAATGTATGTCTTCGATTTCGTTACGCTAATATGCCTGTACATTTGATCTCATTATTAAATATAGTAAAAACATATGAATCTGAACTGCTGATCATAGCTGCGTTCCATGTGACGTTCACAATGCTTATGAATATCATTTGTCCTTGTTTAACATTTGCTAATAAAAATGAAATAATTCCAAGAGCACTGTAAGCATCAAATGAAACATAGCCCATAATAATAGCACACTTGTCTTTTCATAGAAGTTAGCTTCCCTTTTTATAGAAGTCTTTCGGACAGTAAAACACGTGACAAGACATTGTGGCTATTGCTAAAACATCTTGAAATTCTTACAATAAAATAAATAATGCAATCAACTAGATGACAAATGTCATGCTAAAATTTGCCTAAACATAAATACATAATATGGCCCAATAGACTGATATATGTAATAATGAAAACAAAAAAAATTAATCGATCTATCTGAAAAGGGGTGCAAAATCAAGGATTTTGTGAGTGGAAAAATATCAAAATGTGTAATGCGCTAATAAAGGAGTTTCTATAATAGAGAAAAAATGAGAAATCATTTGGCAGAAATACTTCTTTCGACTTGGCATAATAACTTTCGAAAAGAATAAATAACAATGAGAAGCAATGATTAATGAAATGATGATGAAAGAAATACAATTTAATCATCATATATCAATACATACAAAAAAAAAACGAAGATTTTCTATTAAAAAGATTTCCTAATATTGTAAACTTCATGTTAATGATGGGATATTTTGTGACCATTCATCTAATTTGGACTGTAAGATCTTATTATCCTGCGTGACAGTACTCTTCGAATAATAATTAGTCGTGCCTAATACATCGATAGCGTAAACATCCTGATTCTCGTGCAAGCGTTTCACGTGCTTGTAAGTATCAGAAGGATATCGCGATATGTACATGCAGTAAGGACATCTGTAACGTGGCTCCTTGCCGTTGCAGGCGCTCATCACATGCCGTTTCAGGTGAGACTTCTTTGCGTAATTGTTGGGACAGTTCAAACACTGATAGGGTCTTACGTTCCACGGACAGTAAGAATACCAGGGATATCCTGAAACATACAAACAACAGCACCATGTCCGATTTGCAAATATGAAAACATAAAAAGTTCGGTAATCTTAATCATGTACAATACAAATTACAGAAGAATTTCGATACAAAAAAATTTTGTATCACAGAAACTTTGATTTTTCATAAAAAAAAGATGCTCATAAATTGATTGAAAACTACGTAATGATGAAGGGTGAGAATTTTAATGTTTCCAGAAATATAGCGTTAATCCATGCAATATTTTTTAATATTTCATATAGGACAATATTTTTTAATATCCCATATGAGAATTAAAAAATAAAATTTTTTAAATTTTAGTAAAATTATTATACACATACATGTTATGATAAGAGCGAATTGCACATAAGTATTTACGGGACACAAAACAAGGAAGATATGTTTTTATTGCATGTCATTACGTCAATTTTTCGTCGAGATAATGTTTCGAAGATTTGGCGCGAACGTTGTGTGCGCGCATTCGTACCACGTGTTACTATGATTAATTGATCAGCTGATCGTAGTAGCCACGTATAGCCACGTGCTTCACCATAAACAAAATGTTAAACATCTCAACATCGACTTCACTCCTAAATCGAAGAAAAATCGTAACGGCCTTTCTTACGTAACGGTCTCGTTTGAAATTTCAGCGCTTCTAATGAGAATAAAATTATTTATCTCAGATTAGTAATTTATGAAATAATTCTCATCGTTTGACTTAAAAAAAAATTAAACTTGCCCCAAAAATTAATACAAATCGGCGTATTTTCAAATTGCAATATCTAAACTCGGACAGATCGTAGTTTTGTGAAACAAATTACGTTAAAAAGTACAAAATTTTAATCTTCTTTTATATAATTATAAAAAATTTATTTCCTAGCACATGGCAAATTGAACTTAAATAATTATTTAAATTAATTATTTTTTCTTTAAATAAATCACCTGAAAAGTTCAATCCGATATACATAAAATACATAATTTTTTCCACGCAATTGCTATTGAGTTCCTATGTATGTACATATATTTATGCAAGATGTTATTACATCTCGTAATAAGGTTAGAAAAAATATATGTATTGATCGTATATAAAAATATGACGTATTAGTGATATAAGAAATAATATACAATAGTATAGATAAAATTTTCGATGTAATTTGGCACTATCTGTCTTAATTGATTCAGATAGAACAATAGAAAATAGACATGCATACAAATATACATAAAATTATTGTATATTTTGCGCAAAGATATAATTATTTTGTAATTTTATATAAATTGCGTATTTAAATTTCTAAAAATAATAATGTACACATAATAAATAATAATTAATAAATTAAGTATTATTGTGTTCCTAACAATTCTAAGGTAACACGCAGAAAATGTAAAGTTTTATTATCACATATTTTAAATACGAAAATACAGATTTCTTCAGACATCATAATAAACATGATGTCTATTTATAATAGTGAAAGAGAATATTAAATACCAGACTAAAAATTAATGTAAAAAGTAAATAACAAATATAAAATATAAAGAAATAAATAATAAATATGA